TACCATTAGGCAGGAGATTCTGATATTTTGCCTTTTTTTCTTTTTATATTGAATCAGGTTGAAAAATCAAAAAAATTTTTGCAGATGGTTTTGGGGTCTAGTGGTTACAGCAGAGGGTCTGGGTGTCAGGACTCCTGGGTTCTATCCCCAGCTGTGGGAGGGGAGTGGGGGTCTCATGGGTTAGAGCGGGGGGGCTGGGAGTCAGGATTCCCTGGGTTCTAGTCCTGGCTCTGGGAGGAGAGTGGGGTCTAGTGGTTAGAGCATGGTGGTTTACCCTCGCAGCCCACCCCTGACCATCCGTCTGTCCCCCTCAGCTATGTGGGAGCACCATCCTGAGACAGCAGAGATCGCCGCCCTGCAGGAGGCTCACCGCAAGCACAGCCGGCGCAGTTCAGAGGAAGAGGAGGAGGAAGAAGAGGAGATATCCAGCTCTGGGGAGGAGGAGGATGAGGAGAAGGACCGTGATGCCGATGAGGAAGAGGAGGAGGAGGAGGAAGAACCAGCTGCCTCCAGTGGAGGAGGGAGCAGCGCCCCAGCCCAGGCCCCACCCAGGAGGGTGCTGAAGGGGAAACTCTCAAGCCGGAACTTGTTTGCTTTGCTGGGGGAGGATGAATGTTAGTGGCTCCCCCTGTTGGACAGATTGAGAAAAGGGGGGGAGGAGGGCCTGGCTACAGGCTCCACCCCCTGCCCCTGTTACAGGCTCCGCCCCCTGCCCTGGCTGAGCTCCGCCCCCCCCCCATTCTCCATGTTCATTCCAATGCTCTATAGCCTCTGTATATGAATAAAGGTGATGTTTATTTCCAGACCCCGCCTCCGTCATTGGCCGGGACACTGGTCTCCCTCCCCAGCCATTGGTCCATCTATCCTGGGATCTCCATGGCCCGGCTGCATCACACCAGTGGGCTCATCTAGCCTAGTATCCCGCCCCTTCAGATAAGATCCATGGGTCCATGTAGTTCAATATCCCAGCCTGGTCCTTGCTGCCCTGGCTCAGAGCAGTGGTCTCTGCTCGGGCCTGTTCATTTTGGATCATTTCTATCCATCAAAAAGGCTTCTTCCTTTTAGTCTTCAAACCTTGGTTTTGCTGCAGAAGCATCCTGCTCCCCATTTGCCTGTGGAACTCCCTACCACAGTATTCTCGCCCATACTGCTCATGGAAGTAGAGAGCAAAGGATAACTCGGTCTTACAGCCCATGCGTTGGATCCCTTCAGCTGTTTATTTTTCCAGGAGTTTCTTCCGCTCGCCTCAGGGCATCCTCCCAGTCTGCCGTGGGGCAACTGTTGAACTTCAGCCTGCTTGTTGTGTTTATTGTGCGGCTTTGACACATCCAGCAAATCACCAAGAGGGCTTAGTATTAGATGTATTAGGGCAACACGTAGAGGCCACAGCTGAGATGAGGGCCCCGTTGTGCCAGGTGCTGCACAGTCACACACGGAGAGACAGTCCCTGCCCCAGCTGAGATCAGGGCCCCGTTGCGTCAGGCGCTGCACAGACACACGGAGAGACAGGCCCTGCACCAGCTGAGATCAGGGCCCCGTTGCGCCAGGTGCTGCACAGACACACAGAGAGACAGGCCCTGCACCAGCTGAGATCAGAAAAACTTTACAAAGAAAAAAAGTCTGTTAAATCTCCACTGCACTGTAAACTAAGGGGAACCTGCACCGCCCCAGGGTCATTCTCGGATCTGATGGAACAGACAGGAGTGAGGTGGAGACAGCAAACTGGGGGAAATGCACCGTGAAGCAGAGAGCCACTCCCACGTGCAAGCAAATGCTGGCTTTGCTGAAATATCTGCTCCCGAGGTGGAAGCGAGGACCGATCGCTGGGGCTCTGTTTGGGCAGCATTGAAACCCCTTTCCCCTCGGGCAAACTGGTCACCTGGGACTCACCACCCCCGCCCCTTGTCTTGTTCGAAATACTCTTTTGTGAGTGCCCTGACAGCAGCCCAAAGCAGGGGCGCCGGAATTACTGGCCTTAAGTGCGAGCGACTGGCGGGGTGGGCCTCAGGGCGAAGAGGCCCCATCAGGGTGGGGCCTCGGGGGGATGGGATGGCATGAGGGGGTGGGGCCATGGTTCGGGTGCCCATGGCCTCCCCACTTTTAGGGACCTTCCGTCGCCCCTGGCCCAACGGCCGCATCCAAAGCGCTCATAAATTTGCATCGTTTTTTTTTTTAAATCAGCAAGTCAATGCAGATGCCCGTGATCTTCGCCGGTGCTTGTATCTTCCCCGCCAGTTCTGAGATGCAGCCACCTGTGGGGTGGGGCAGCTGGGGAAACAGTTGCATGATGACGTTGCATAGGCATCACTCATCCAGCACTGAGATGCAGCCACTTCTGGGGTGGAAAGCAGCAGCTATTTAACTACCACAATTTAGGACTAGAAGGGATGGGGGAATCCTCCTAAATCCAATGACAGCCACAGGATGAATTCCAGGGATGGCAATACAGATTTGCCTCAGCTGGGATCGAGCCAATACAATGCAGTTAATCCAGCCTGGCAAAAAAAAAAGGAACCAGCCATATACAGTATTATCTGAAATTAGGCAAAGTAAAAGTGCCCCCAACTGAGCCCTCGCCCCACTCCCTGCAACACAGCGCTCCCTTGGGGTCAGCGCTGGCTGCCCGAGCAGAGCGCCCCCTGCTGGAGGGAGGGGGGATGGCCAGCAGAGGGCCAGGGCTGTGCTGAGTCTCGGCTGGGGAGCAGGGGGGACCCGAGGGAGCAGGTGCAGGAGGAAGGGGTGCCCCCCCCGCCCCATGGTGTGCGGCAGAGCCAGGCAGGCTGGGGAACTACATTTCCCAGAGGCCTTTGCTACTGCTGCAGCTACGTCGGCTGGGCTGGGCAGGAAGAGGCTGCCGCTGCTGGTGCCTCCATGTGACAGGTCCGGGGCAAACGGGGGAGGGGGGAAACAAAAGGGGCTGGCGGGGTACTGCTGTGAAGGGGATCTAGGGGGGCTGGAGGAAGAAGGTTGGGGGGCTGTGAGAGGAAGGGGATCTGGGGAGGGGGCTGGCAGGGGAAGGGGCTGGGGATTTGCAGGGGAGGGAGATGTGGGGAGGGGCTGGCAGGGGAAATGATAAGGGTCTGGGGGAAGGGGCTGGGGATTTTGCGAGGGGAGGGAGAGTGGTGGGAA